CTTTTATTTGAAAAATGACATTCTCCAAATGGTGGCTTCTATTTTCTGTACACTCTTGTAGATAATTTCTAAGGTTTTCCATCACCCAGAAAGAAAAAGTGTCTTATAAGCAACAAAATACATTACCTATTTTGACAGACTATTTATGAGACCTAATTGCTAATTTAATAATGCATTTAAATTCATGTGTTTGAAGTACCAAGGAGAAGAGTTCATTAGAACAATTCCCATGAAAATATTCATAGAAAAGACACAGGAAAGTCACATCACTGTGATGGAAAAGTGAATGAACTCATGTTGCCAGGTCAGGACTGATATATTTGCAGACCCTTCTTTGGATTGTCGCGAATCTGTCAATATATAGCAGGAGCACCAGACTAAATATAGCTCCAATATTCAATGCACAGACAAATGGTAGATTTCTAAATGTGCAAGATGGACTCTGGCAAGAAAAATTATCTGGTATGATACAGTGAACCAACTTTCCTATCAGCAGACCTAGCAATTGATTCAATATAATTGTTCCATTTCACTGTAATGGGAAAGATGTGGCCCAGAAGGTGCATTGATTTGCTCTCCTGGAGGTTAGCATGAGCAATACTAATGGACGGTTGAATAGATCCTTTATGAGGATTAAAAAATAGCAGTTTTAGTATCCTAAAAGCATTTTCACATGTCAATATTTATAATTTTTACTGGTCTCTATTTACATTATTCGGATTATTGTCCTCATCTTTGTCGCCATATTTATTACAATGTTTCGGCCATTGTATGCTCCGGCCTTCTTCAGATGGTTGCAATGTTGAACTGAACCTTTTATTTCGCTCCCTGGGGTAGACTGTTCTAGTTCTACATGCCATGTTTAATGGATGTCAGTTATCAGTTATCTCCTGTTAATTCCCCTCTCCAAGTTCTCCACTGCCTTAACCGGGTATTGAACTCACACTCTTTGGGTCTCTACCCTCAATTTTTATTGATTTCTGAATTTATGTGAGTTGGTAGGGTGCTCTTGTCATGTTGATTTTAAATGTGTAAATATTTAAAGCATTTCTATTTTTTTCAAACAAGATCTGTATAGATTTTTGGTACAATTTTAAGGTTTTCATTTTTTTCCATGGATATGTGTGTATGTACATGAGTGAGAGTTCTACTCATGTGTATGTGTATCTATGTTTTTTTGAGTATGTATACACGTGTATTTATCAATCCAATTCTAAAAGTGTGTATGTCATAGATGTCAGTTTAGATAGGTAGATATGCACAGATGAAGGTGAATAAGATTTAAATTCTGGTGATGTAAGAAAAGAGAAGCAGCTGACATTAAATAAGGTATCTTTTTCCAATGGAGAACATATATTGAAACTTATTTTTAAAAAAAGACAAATTTCAATTTGTCCATTTATATGACGTCATCTTGACTGACTTGAAATTGGTTCCATCGAATGTGAAAAGCTGTAATTAAAAAACTGATACAGAACAAATCTTGAAAAGAAGTGTAACAACATTCAGAAGTAGTCAGGAAGAAAATAATATACGATAAAAATAAACTTTTGCAAATTTACAAATGAAACAAAACATCTAATTCAAAAGTTTGAAAAATTAAATAAAAAAATTGATAAACAGAACTTGTCCATATTATTTAACTAAACATCTATGCTCAATATCAGATGTTGAGTGTAGGAATCAACACTGTATGACTGTCAGTTTCACATTTCAATTGATTTTCAGACTTTGTGTCACTAGCAGGCTCAATATATAGGTGACTGAGGAATTAAGGGGATTTAACATTTGAAAGAACAAAATAATATAAAAATAAATACAAATTTTGGCAAATTTACTAATAATATGAAACACCTAATATGAAAATTTGAAAAATTAAATAAAAAAGTTAATAGACAAAACTTGTCCATATCATTTAACTAAACATTTATATCTACATATATATGTCTCTCTCTCTCTTTCTGTATATATATATATATATATATATATATATATATATATAGATAGATAGAGAGAGAGAGAGAGAGAGAGAGATGATTTGGCTGAAATACCTCTCACATAATGGTAAAACATTTCTAAGAGTGCTTATGTCATAGATACTTCATTATTACCTGTATATGTGTGCGCATAAATCCACAAGTTTTTAGAAAATTGATATTATGTTAACATTTACTGTTGAGTACCTGTTTAAATAATGCTTAAATAATATTTCCTTCCAACATACCATACACCACATTATGTAGCTTTGAGAGTCATTTTGTATATTCATTTTGTATACTAGTGATATATATATATATATATATATATATATATATCTCACTATTATAGAAAATGAATATACAAAATGATTCAATAAAGCAGAGATAAAGAATTCACAACTAAAATACAGGCTAATGAACCGTTTAATTAATCCATTCCCTTTATATGTTTTAGACATTCAATGGTATCTATGATTCATGGATTACTCCTGGTCTTGTATAAATCAGTTTTTGCTCAATATCTTTTCTTATTAAACATTTTATTTGTTTAATATAATAGTGAAATGGAAATATCTCTCAGGAGATTAGTAACAGAATGACAAAGACAGTGACAATAAAACCTATTTCAAGACCAAGTTGAAGCAAGACGATCATGTAAGAGACAAAGGTATCTGTATACCTAACATGAAAGGCTTGGACAAATAAGGCTGCAATCTAAGAAATGTAGGAGGAAAGGAATTGATTAATTAAAAGGTTCATTTTACCCGTTCACAATGATATGCACTCAACTGCAGTTGTTCTACGAGTGTATGAAGTTATTATTATTACTAGTGTACCTGTGTCGTCAGAAATGATGGCAGTTATTAGAAAGTTTTAATAGCAAGATGCAATAAAACAAAAATCTTGAAACAATGTATTGAGATTCAATAAAGCAGATATAAAGAGTTCACAACTAAAATAGAGGCCAATGAAGCATTTAATTAATCTGTTCCCTTTATATTTTTAGACGTTCAATTGATTACTCCTGGCATTATATAAATCAATTTTCATGTTAAAAATTTTTTCACTGAAATAGATATATCACTTAAAAGAAAAAAATTAACAATAAAATGACAAGATAATGTTATATAGAAATAAAGTGTTGCTGCTGACACTTGAGTTTGAACATAGATCGCCAGTGAACAAACACAGGCAATCCCATTATTGAATTACGTAGACCATGTAACCATAGAGGAAATGCATATATGGGAGGTAACATGTGTCTAATTGATTGCTATTTCTAGTCTATCCCCTATTACTATACGGATCACCATTTCTACTATATCCTCTATTCTCTACTCTGTTCACTATACTATTTCTCTATTTAGATCACTATACTGATTACTATTCGGTAGTTGCTTTTTGAGCAAGTATCATTAGTGAGAGTGATATTTGAAGGCATCTGAAACCAGCATTGTTCAATGGTGTACTATAGTTGTATCTGCAATTACAAGGTCTCTAGTACAATGAACATTAGGAGAGTGACAACAAGTATTCGTTGACATCACAAAAGTGGCAACAAGTGTTCACTGACATCACAAAAGATAGTGATAACAAAGCTTATTGCAAGACCAGGTAGAAGGAAGACGATCACTTAATAGACAAAGGTATCTGCATACCTCACATGAAAACCTTAAACAAATAAGACTGCAATGTAAGAAATGTAGGATTAAAGAAGCTGATTAATTAAATGGTTCATTTTGCTTGAGAACTAAATTTGGGTAAATAAATATTTTATTTCTATAGATTATCAAAGTTTCTAAAGGAATCACTCATAAACTTAATAACTTTAGTTGATTTATTTTCCTTGTCACTACAAATGGGACAAGAAATATATAAATATAAATAAATACACATTATATGGATTGATGAGTATTATATTCACAAATCATTGATGTGTATATATATATATATATATATATATATATATATATAATGCAAATGAAACCTAAGCAAAGCAGCAGCAAGAAACAAATTTCACAAAGTGATAAATGTTTTCACATGCAAAAGGGATAGAGTCTAGTGACTATAGCATTCTGATTTCAAGAAAGAACAAAAATGCATGAGATAAGAACTATCCAGATTAGGGTGGGAAAAGGAAATAAAATAAGAATATATAAAGAAATACATTTTCCCATTATTATTATAATAAATGAACCAGAAAGGGTTTCGGTCTTCTGCACAATTTTGCCAAATGTCTATTAGGTGGTGCTGTTTAACTATATAAAAAGACAAGCATTTCCTTCTTCCTTTTATTCCACCATGTAGCAGAAAAATGATGGCTGAACTCTCTTTCCACTATCCAATGCATCCACTAATGAAGTAAGTTCAACCATTACTTTGGTTGTTCCAACTAAGTGCAAGGCTGAGTTAAGCTTGGCCATTATGATTATTCTCAACCTTATTTACCCTAACTTACTTCTGGATGAGAAAAAGAAAATGGACATACGCAAGAGACATTGAGAACATTGTTTCCCTTCAAAAAAGAATAAATGGTCTGTAGTAGAAACCCAAGTTTCTGTTGCTTTTATATTAATTGTTTATATGTGAACATGCACACATGGCTACAAGACACCAACATACAACCTTTAAATTCCATAAGAAGAAATCCCAGCATGCATCTGTAGTATTTGTCTATAAATTTGGAGAGGGGACGTTCTTAGCCATTATCCACCCATGATTGGAACCAGCAAAATCTGAAGAATCTTTCAAAATTGTTATTTTTCCTTCATCTATGTTGTTTTGTTATTCTCCTGTTTTTACTTACCTGGGCTCTTATCCCTCACTTTTTTGTTTCTTAATCTAATTTATCTAACAATTATTTTCTGATCTTTTTGCAGAGCGGGTTGGTTCATTCCCACAGATATTGCCAATGAGTTCTGGTCCAAGAATATCTTCATTGACCACTGGCGAGCATTGCGTTTACCACAAGTTATCAGCAGGTTCTCTCTGGTAGACTCTCTGGGAGTACTCGAAAATGTGATGACAAAAAGACTCAACCGGGGAGCTGAAGCCCTTTGCAAGGAAAAAGATTGTGTTAACGGCTTCCTTCTAGGACCAGGTTGCAAATACCTAAGTGAAGGTTGCCTTATTCTTCTATCTAGTTATCCAGGTAAATCTGAATTTTGCATATCCATATAGACAATAAAGACATATGTTTTGACATATGCTTATTTCCATGTCTTACAGTAATCTTCTTGTACAGAGAGGGATTTAAAATGACCAGCGTTTTTGTACAGAGAGGGATTTAAAATGACCAGCGTTTTTGTGTAGTCTGTTTGTTCCAGATGTTTATACTTATTATAAGGAAACATGCAACATTATATAGAAAGATACTTCTTCTTCTTATATGTTACAGGACATGGGCGATCATGGCCTTCCACGTCTTCCTCTCATTTGTAGCTCTTAATAAGATTTGCTTTTTGTTATTTGTCACAAACCCTATTCTATCATCCATTTACTCAAGACCATCAAGTATATTACACACTGCTTTCCTCTGTTCCTCAATCTGTCCTGTGAGTATCAGGTTTTCCAAGCCCTCCGTCCTCATTATGTTGTACAGAAACTTCAACTGCCTCTTCCTGATGTGAAGTATCTTCGTCTTTTATGTACTGTGTCCCTTCAGGATGTAGGCGATCATGGTTCTCCACATCTTCTGTCCCTTTTAGCTCTTAATAAGTTTTGTCTTTTTGTTATTTCTCACAATCCCTGTTCTAACATACATTTACTGAAGTTCATCAAGTACATTATGTGCTGCTTTCCTCTGTCCCTCAGTCTGTCCTGTGAGTATCAGGTTTTCCAAACCCTCCTTCCTTATTACGCATCACAGAAATTTCAACTGTTGTTTAGTATAAGTTTCATTTTGGCTCCTGTTTTCTTAAAAACCTTGTCATTGCTTGACCCATGGTATCCTCAGCATCTTTCTGTGGAATCAGATTCCTGTTGCTTCAAGTCTCCTCTTCATTTTTGAGGAGATTGCCCAGCATTCACTGCCATATAGGAAGTCAGATATCATGAAGCAGTTCTGTACTGCTTAAGTGATAGATATATATATATATATATATATACCTCTGCATCCACCCTGCATACATCTATTTTGATTCAAATTTGCTATATTTATCAACAAAGAGTGCTAAATATCAGATGTTGAGTGTAGGAATCAACACTGTATGATGACTGTCAGTTTCACATTTCAACTGATTTTCAGACTTTGTGTCAGTAGCAGGCTCAATATATAGGTTACTGGGAAATTAAGGGGATTCAACATTTGAAAGAATTCAAGAACAAAATAATATAAAAATAAATACAAATTTTGGCAAATTTACTAATAATATGAAACACCTTATATAGAAATTTGAAAAATGAAATAAAAAATATTGATAGATCGAACTTGTTCATATCATTTAACTAAACATCTATATCTACATATATATGCCTCTCTCTCTTTCTCTGAGTATATATATATATATATATATATATATATATATATATATATATATATATATATATATGATTTGGCTGCTATATAATGTTAAAACTCAAGTTCATTCCAGACCCAAGTGGATTTCATATATATAATCCATTGTTAAAGAAGCTGGAGAACTGTATTGCTTCATAAAATAATTAATATACATTCCACCATGATTTATTTTTAGAAAGTTATATTATTTTATTATATTATTATATCTGGCCTGGAGGTGCACAATCTTCTCTTTACAGTTTTCATAGAGTTCAAAATGCAATGTCACATCCACCCGACATGGCCTGATGATTGCGTCAAGTATGAAACAGACTGTTGCCATTCAGTGTTGAACTGCGTCCTTTCTGTTTATTTATACAAAAATACACGTATATCCACATGGAAAAAAAGAAAGAAAAGAAATATTGAGAGAAGAAAATTAAGAAAAAAAGAAATAACTACACATACAGGAGGGCACACACACACACATGCCCATGTAAAGAAGAAAAGAATCAGCCTAACACCAATAAAAAGTGCATAAATTATTTTTCAACTTAATATAAAAATAACAAAAATGAGAAAATCAGCAGACAATTGCAGCAACCTACTGACAAATGGACCAAATGATTCCCAAAACTTTACATTGTTCAAACTGTCATCCTCATTTTATCAAAACATTTTTGGTCATTGTATGCTCTGGCCTTTATCAGGTAGTTGGAATATCGAACTGAACCCTTTATTTCGCTCGCTGGGGTAGACTGTTCTAGTTCCACGTGCCATGTCTAATGGATATCAGTTATCTCCGGTTAATTCCCCTCTCCAAGTTCTCTACCGCCATAACCAGGTATTGAACTCACACTCTTTGGATCCTGTCACTGGATCTAACACCTTTATTCACTGTGCCATGTGTTGTTGAGGACACATGTCACAGTGAATCTTATCTTTAAGGGCATATATATATATATATATATATATATATATATATATATATATATATATATATATATATATATATAATATAAAATACAGACCACTTTAAGGTACCATTACAATAATTTATTTCACCAAAATCCTTTTTAAAGGACTCCGGATCATCAGGTAACAATATATATATGTGTATGTATGTGTGTGTGTGTGTGTGTGTGTTTGAGTATGTATATGTATATATATATATATATATGTATATATAGTTTATGAAAAACTAGGTAATCCGTATGGGTAAACCCAAGGAGGATAAAATCCAGAGAGCTCAATGTAAATCCAGAGCAAATAATTTAAATAAAAACAGACCACTTTAAGGTTCCATGTAATAAATTATTTTACCACAGCCCTTTTAAAAGGACGGCGGATCATCAGACTTTACTTCCAAACAAAAAATGAAAAGAAAATTTACACATTTTTGATGGGCCATACTAAACATATATAAATTAACGAAGTGAGGAAGTAGGGGGGAGAGGGAAGACATGAGTGAGTTAGCAGATATTGACACATTTAAACGGTTAACTTAACGGTAGTTATATATTGATATCGAAGGGGTAGAGACGAAAAAGCCCATAGAGATAAAAATAGAGAAAGAAGTTATGAGAGAAAGTGTCACTAATTTTCTTTGTAAAAAAAAAAGGCTAGAAACAGATGCTGTTATTTTGTTTTACTTTGAAAGTGTAATTTTGGGGGTTCATAAGTTATAAAATTGTTGTGGTAATACATTGTTGTTTTTCATTTGTTATTCTTGCAACCCTATGTAACATATAACAACTGGTGTCAGTAGTCACAGGAGGATATAACTGATAACTAACAAACTCTAAGAGAACAAAAAAAAATTATTTTCAAATTATTCTCTGACAGAATTTTTCCTTCACGAAGCAATTCAAATCAAAATGGAAATGTAATTTGATTTGATTTTGCTTGAAAATTCAAACACTTCTTAACAAGAAAAAGCTAAATAAATTAATCCACACTTTTTAAAATATCAATTGTAACCCTGCATTCTTTTCTGTTAATTAATGCTTATGTTGAATGATGACAAGACGAAATGAAATCAGTCAATAATTATGAATGAAGATCTCAGAGGATTTTTTAGTCTGGACGTCACTGGCTAATGGCAGAAGTTCAAAATAATAGTTGCAGGCAAAAATAAATTTCAGTCGTTTATTTCATAAAACAATAAATAAAGTTCATTCTTTCCAGCTGGGTTTCATTAATTTTTCATCTTTTATGTTTCAATGGATTAGCACACACACACACACACACACATAAATAGATATATAAAAATAAAACTTTTAGATGTGTGTACATACATACATAGATATATATTAAAGAATTACATTTAGATATTTAAGAAAAACTTATATATATATATATATATATATATATATATATATAATGGATCAGATGGAAAATTTCAGCATCCCAGATACCCACATTTGTGTGTGTGCGTTTGTGTGCATATGTTTATATGTGTGTGTTTCTGTATTTATATGTGTGTACCGTTATATGTATATGTGTGCGAGCATATATATATATATGTATATATGTGTGTGCCTATATATATGTGTGTGCATATATATATATACATATATGTATATATTTATGTGCGTATATATTTATATATGAGTGTATATTTCTGTATATATGTGTGCATATATATATGTGTGTGCATATATATTTATGTATACGTATGTGTGTGCATATATATATGTATATATGCATGTATATATATGTGTGCATATATATTTATGTATATATGTATATGTGTGTGCATATATATATGTATGTGTGCATATATATATGCATATATGTGTGTATATATATATGTAGCTATGTGTGCGTATATATGTATATATGTGTGTGTGTGTATGCATATATATGTATATATGTGTGTTTGTATATATATATGTATATATATGTGTGTTTATATATATGTTTATATATGTATGTGTGTATATATATATATGTGTGTATAAATATATATGTTTTGTGTGTGTGTATATATATATATATATATATATATAAAACTTATATATATATATATATATATATATATATATATATATATATATACATACACACACACACATATATATATTAACTGCATATAGATATGTGTGTATATGTATATGTGTATAATATATATATATATATAGTTAGAATATATTATATTATATGACAATGAGATATATATTTAAATCTCACCATTGTCCATTTGGATGTGTATATATAACTATATGTGATGTTGTTGTGTGTGTGTGTGTTATATCTGTGTATGCAGCACCTTTCTAATGTGTGAAAAAAAATATACACGGGTGTGACCCAAGCCTTATATATATTATATATATGGATATATATATATATATCAATAGCAGTATTACACAAAGTCACAAGTCATGAAGGATAAGATATGTGCTGGTCTATGTAAAATTGATGATACCCTGATAATACACTTGTCTGGTTAAACTTTAATTAAGTCTGCTGAGCAAAGTTTGATTTTAAATGACAAAAATTGTGGGTTTTGAATGAAACTCAAATTCCTGATGTTTGAGCAAGTGTTGATACCAGGATTGGAAAGTGACAAAAAACCATAGCAGACAGGTATGACCGAATATTGTGGCCATTTATACATATGGAACTCTTGTGTATATATATCTTAGCACAAA